ATAACACTGAATTATTAAACAGTAACCCAGATTAAATGAACAAAGTCATAGAGAGATATCAATTCCTGAAACTGAAAAGAAATAGAAAAATCTAAAGAGATTGAGTTAGGAATCAAAAGACTTCCCACAAAGATAAGCCTAGGCCCAGAAGCCTTCAGTGGTAAATTCTGCCAAACAAATTAAAAGGATAAAAATGATTATAAATCAAGACCAAGTGGGATTTATCCCAGAAATACAAGCTTGATTTAATATGTTAAAAAATCAAAGTAATATAAAATATCAATAAAAGATTTAAAAAAGAAATATATGATTATCCCAATTGACAGAAAAATCATTGGCAAAACCCAAGACATTTTCATGATAAAAACACTCAACAAGCTCAGAAGAGAAAGGAACTTCTGCAATCTGATAAAGGACAACTAGTAAAATCCCAGTTAAAAATCATTCTTAATGGTAAAAGATAACTGCTTTGCCCCTAAAATCGGGCATAAGGATGCCTGCCCTCTTCAACTTACTTGCAACATTTTGCTAGAGGCTCTAGGCAAGGCAGTTAGGCAAGAAAAAGAGGTTAAAGACCTCTATACTGGAAAGGAAGAATTAAAACTATTTCTATTAGCAAAAAATACTATCTTGCATACAGAAAATCCTAAGGCATCCACACCAAAAAAAAAAAAAAAGAGGGAGGAGAGGAAGGAAGGAAGGATTCAGCAAGGCTGCAGAACACAAGATCAATCTATAAAAATAAATTTTATCACTAGCAATTAACAATCTGAAAATGAAATTCGGGAACAAATCATTTACAATGGAGTCAAAAAGAAAATACTTAGGATGTACTTAGATTTGTACATTAAAATCTAAAAAACACATTTAAAAGAAATTAAAGAAATCCTAAATAAATGGAAAGCTATTCCTTGTCCATGCATTGGAAAACAATGTATTAAGATGGCAATACTCTCCAAATTGATCTACAAATTCAACACAATCCCTATCAAAACCCCATCTTCCTTGTTCTGCAAAAATTGAAAAGTTGATCTTAAAATACATGTTAGAAATATGAGACACCCAGAATAGCCAATACAATCCTGAAAAAGCACAAAGTTGGAGGGCTCAAACACTCCAATTCCAAAACCTACCACAAAGCAACAGTAATCCAGGCAGTATGATACTGGCATAAGGGCAAGCACATAAGATCAATTGATTTAAGAGTCAAGAAACAAATCCTCATACTTAGGATCCTTAAACTGGACTTTGTGAAAATAAAAAACCTTTGTGCTGAAAAAGATACCATTAAGAAAGTAAAAAGACAATTTTCTGGTATGACAGGAAATATTATAAATCGTATATCTTCTATATAGAACATATACAAAATAAAATAAAGAACTAGGGCAGTGCCTGTGGCTAAAGGAGGAGGGCACTGGCCCCATATACTGGAGGTGGCGAGTTCAAACCGGGGCCTGGCCAAAGAAAAGAAAGAAAAAAAAACTGTAAAATAAATAACTATTCCAACTCAACAATAAAATGACAACTTAACTGAAAAAAATGGACAAAAGATTTGAATAAACATTTGTCCATGAAAAATGCACAAACGGCCAACAGGAAAATTGGCTTAACATTCTTAGCCATCAGGAAATGCAAATCAAAACCACGATGAGACAGCACTTCTCACTTAACAAGAATGGCTATAGCCAAAAAGACAATAAGAGGTGTTGATAAGGCTGTGGAAAAATTGCAACCCTAACACATTGTGGGTGGGAATCAGAGACAGTACAGTCACTCTGGAAACCAACCTGGCAGTGTCTCAAAAAGGTAAATACAGAATTGCCATATGTCCCAGAAATTACACTCCCAGGTATAGATCCAATAGAACTAAAAAGATAAGAGCCCGCACATGAACTTGTGAGTGTTCATAGCGGCACTATTCGTAGAGTAGGCATAACTCAAATGGCCACCCACTGATGCATAAATGTGTTAAACCCATTATAACAGCACACTATTCAGCCATTAAAAGTGATTAAAGTACCGATACATGCTACGACGTAGATGAAACTTGAAAATACTATGCTATGAAAGAAACCAGTCACAAAATATTATGCTATGAAAGAAACCAAGAATATCAAGTTAGAGAGGAATGGAGGGCAAAGAAGGCTCCAATTGACGTAGAACTTACAACCCCTGGGCAATTACTCCTTGCATAATTCCCTTTATATAAAATACTCAGGATAGGCAAACCCATAAAGACAGAAAGAAGATGAGTGGTTACCAGTGGCTGGGAAGAGAAGGAAGTAATGCTCATAGGTATGGGGTTCTTTGGGGGTGATAAAAGTGTTTGGCATTAGGCAATGATGATCCTTAAACAACCCTAAGAATATACTAAAAACCACTGAATGATACGTTTAAAAATAAAGGGTGAATTTTGTGGCACGTGAATTGTTTGACTATTGTCTGAAGCTTCTACCTATAGAAGGCCACAGGGCAGAGCTCTCAAACTCAGGTGATTCTTAGACAGCCCAGGGATGCTGGGGGAAAGTCCACATGAACCCTGCAATCTGCATTTGTAACAACCACCCTTGCAGATGCTGATGCCAGTGCTCCCAGATCATGGTTTAGGAAACACTGCCCAGTGGTGGCCTAACTCATCTTATACCTAGAGCCTCTAGCTAGCACCACTGACCTCAGGATCCGGTGCTTGTCCACATGCAGGAGGGGGAAACCAACATATAACTACAAGTTTGCCACCCATAGCATATAAATACAGAAGCCACTCACAGTTGACTATGTAAGTACCAATAATTGTCTTTGTTCCACTAATTTTTAGAAAGCTTCTACTAGCCTATGTTTTTAAAATTAGGCAGACAAGGATGATGTTCACTCTGCTGTACTGCACATCTGCTATGTACCAGACATGGTGCAGGACCCTGGGTACTGTATCAGTGATAGTTCATACAGAAGTGACCCCTCATCTTTCCACTGGCCAGGAACAAACAGAAATCAACTATGTCTGGACAACAGATATAACTGTTAGAGAGGAATGGAGGGCAAAGAAAGCTCCAACTGACGTAGAACTTACAACCCCTGGGCAAAGACAGAAGAACATCAAGGTTAAAAGAAATTCACAATAGTTTCCATCTTGGCCCCAGTTCAGGCATAAAGGAACACAAACCAGGGGCTCAGGTGCTGTGCCTTAAAATTCAAAATTGAAATCATACAACAATACCAGGAACTAAGACAGAAAAAGCCTATGAGCTTCGGAAAACTGGACACAAGTTTTAGAGACTGTACTGGAACTCAGGATTCCCAGCCTGAGGTCACAAGGTCCCAACACTTGGGCCTGATTCTCACCTGTGTGTTCCAATCACCCCATCCCTCCCCAGGCTATTCAAGGACAGCTGCTATGTGTACGTGTATGTGTCTAAGAAGGAGACAAACAGGTAAGGCAGGAAGGCAGTGATCCAATGCCATGGGTCAATGCAAACAGCCTGAAAGAAGAAAAACTGCCAAAGGTTAATGGAGCCTTAAAACATTTTGCAAGGTATGTAACAGGGAAAGCCTCTTGCTTTTATCCACTCCCATCTCTCTTCTCATTCCAACCTTCCTCCCTGCTTTCTCTGCTTGGGAGGTCCTCTCTTGCTTGACCCTAAAATCCTTCTAAAAGGGTTGACCTGTTTTCACCTGGCCTGGTCTGCTACCAATTATATAAGTAAATGGGGACCTGGAGGACAGCATCACATCTGAGCTCAGACTCTAGGTGAACAGTGACAGATGGAGAGCAACCTCCCAGCTAGCGGAGGTCCCCTCAGATCCTGAGTCAACAAAGGAATGACACCATCCAGAAAGCAAGCTGGTAGCCCCCCTAGAATGGGAGCCCCTCCTGCTTTTGACCATGCCTGGGTTTTTCCTTTACACCAGGGTAATAAAGGGTGAACTCGATACAGTTGCAGGGCAAGTCCTGTTAAATAATCAAATCTGGTTCTAAATGAGCAAGCCCTCCATTTCAGCATCTGGCTCCAGCACATCAAATCAAGGGGAAGATTTTCCCAGCGGCAGAGAGTTAAGCTACTTACTGACAGCTGGAAGCTTAATTACTGCTTTTCTTAGAGTATTAACTCCCACTAGCCAATGACTACACATCCTATTAGCCATGTAAATTAGCATGTGTCAAAAAAAAAAAAAAAACCTCAACGAAATCGCCCAAAGTTTAAAGAAAACTCAGGCAGTGGGATTAAAAGAAAAAAATCTGCAGAGCCCCACCCCTGCTTTCTGTGTTCTTTTCATTTGGGATTTTAAAGAAATACATCTTTGTCAAGGATGCTTGGCTCCCAGCAAACACCCAACTTCCCAGAGCCTAAAGACATAGTGTTTCCCCCCAAATAAGACACTGTCTTATATTTATTTTTTCTCAAGAAGATACTCTAGGGCTTATTTTCAGGGGATGTCTTATTTTTATTAAGTATAATACAACAATCTATATTTATTCAAATATGGTTAAGTCATCTTCTGGAACCTGACAGGGGGAGCTGACCTTGTTGGTGGGGCTGACGCTAGTGATGTGTGAACTCCTTTCCCCTAGCTGTTCACACGTGCACAATAAGATGCCTGTGACCCAGTTACCACATGCACCCAAGCAAGTGCCAAAGGTCAGAGAAAGGAGCTGTGTTAGATAAAAGGAAGATTCCAGTCTTCCTTACCACTCCGATCCAAAATGCAGGTCTTATTATGGGGTAGGGCTTATAACAAATGCATAGAAATCCTGCTAGGGCTTATTTTTTGGGTAGGTCTTATTTTCGGGGAAACACAGTAATTGTTCTAAACTTCTCCACTTCCTCAACCTCCCAGCACCTTCCAAGCCCTTAGGGAACGTTCACCAAGGGTCAGAATCCTTCCTCTAGGTATCCAAGCACAGTGACCTAAACCCTGCCTACACAAACTCACCTTTTTGATCACAGAATACCAAACCTTACAAAGTAAACTCAGAAATGTATTCTTTAGCACGTTCAACTTACCGCCACCTTTGTGGCAAACATGTACTTGTCCCGAAGCTGAAAGTCTCTCACTTCCTCCAGGATCACTTCCTGGTTTTCCCGAGACTGGAAGAAGTCTGTGCTTCGGAAAACGGTGGAGTAGCCGGAGGGTTCGTGCCGTTCAATGTAGATGGTATTTGGCTTGTCATAGGGATCGATTCCCCTGCAAAAGAAAAAACAGGTGATTATCTTCATTTCTGCATTCATTACTGAAGGCGCAGAGGTTTGCCATGTGGATAATCAACAAGAATTTAGGGCCACCAGGAAGACCTACAAAGATGCTCTCCGTGCCTCTGACATAACCCTTTAGTGGCTCCTCAGCTCAGTAGAGCACAAAAGGAATCGCCATGTGTGTTCTGTGTTGGTTTCAAAGCATCCCAGGTTTAGCATCAGGTAACCTCCGGCCCTGCGTGAAAGGAGCAAAAAGGAGAAAAAGTACGAGGTGGAGTGTTTCAGATTAAATAAGCAACCGACTGCTTGAGGCTATCAGCAAGTTTCTGCCCTCAAGTTATAAACCTTGGAGGAATGAAAGAGTTTTCCCAAAGTGCTGTATCATCAGAAGAGCGCCGCTGTAGGAAACCACATTATGAACTTGAGCCTGAGCTTTCCGAGGGATCCTGCCCCGTCCCTGTGTGTCCCCTGCCGATGTCATGGATCCACACGATCTAGAGTCCTCCTGCCCGAGCTTTTCATTCCCGTGAGATGAAATTTCCTTCACAAATTTGTTCTTACACATCCTGATCGCCTTCAGAAAGGGAGGGCACGTTTCTCCTTCTGTACTTTTGCAAACACCACCCTGTCCCTCTGCAGACGTGCCCTCTACACATAGATTCCTCCATGTGAATACTCTGGGGTCAAGTTCAAGTCTTCACCTTCCAGGACATCTTCCCCCGGTTCTGTCCTCTCTTCTCCCGCCACTAGCACCATGTCTCTGCAGCGCTCTTTTTCAAGCCTTTTATATGAGTTTGAACCCCAAACAAAGATAGAAAACCACTTAAGTTGTGTGATTTTGGAACCAGTCTCATTACTTCGTGCAATAACGCTTCCGATACGCTATGGTATGCTGTTCCCCGCGATGCATATGGCAAGCTTCCTAGACAGAGTACAGATGCCTGGAAAGGACAGAGCTTTTTATCCTACAAGATTCCTACCTGACGTAACACTTGCCATAGTTACAGAAGCTACTCCAAAGTGAAAAATGGAGAATGAGTAGATCAAACTACCTCGGAGAAGAACCTATGAACTAGTATTTCCCCCGAAGAAGCCGCACACAGCAGCTGGGAGGATGACTTATCTGCCCCAAGTCTCCTGACAGTCTCAAGAACCACCAAGGCCAGGTAGACCATTGAACAAATGGAAAAAAATAACTGGGACAGTCAGGAAGGCGGCATCACAGTGAGGGTGTGTGTGTAGCGATGACTCAAAAAAGGCAGAAGGCCTCAGTTACATAACCCCCTGTACACAGTCCCATATGCATAATGGGGCTCAGAATAACCAAGGCAATCACAGGAAATTCCTTCAAAGCTGTACTGTCAACACCACGTTCTCAAAAAAAAAAAAAAAAAAAGGAAAGAAGGAAGGAAGGAGGCAGGAAGAGACAGCAAAACCAAAGAGCCTACAACGGGGGAAGACTAAACTCCTGCCCTACAATCTGGAGTCTTAGTAGGGCACTGGAGAAAACCAGCAAGTTGGGTCCTAAAATGGGAGAAACGATTCTTCCTGATGAGATGCTCTGGGTGCGTGTGTGGGTGGGTGGTGGCGTGTTCTCTTCTTTGCCACAATTAGAAGTACTGATTAAAGTACTTCCTCCAGCCCAGAGGATATGCAAATTAAAATGAGGCTGCTGGATATTTTTAAAAAGGCAAAGAGGAAGGAACCTTTATTGAGATATTTTGAGACCAAGCTCACCTCTATTATTCCTTCCCAGCCAAAAGCAGCACCAACAGTTAGAAAGAACTGTGACTTTCATCCCACCTCTCTTCTGTAACCCATATTTGGACCTCCCATTTCCGCAAGCTGCTCTAGCTACATACACTGCAACCACTTAGCCTTCCAGTTTCTTAGGCCACTGACACCTACTTCTATTCTCTCTGCCCCCATTCAGAAATGTCAATCTTTGCTCTGGGTCTGAGCATGGGTATCAGGCCTCATCTGGCCTCACCTGCCAGAGGTGCATCTCTGAGTCCTGTCCAGTTCTGTTTCGACAACCTCCATCCTTGGGCCATGTGAACTAGCAGCTTTCCTAATTCCGACTCCTCCCACACATTGCTCAATAAATCTATGTCATTATTCTCTAAGAGCCTAGATTACACTTTCACTTATTATGCGAAAACATAGGGAGGGAACCCCCCCAAAAAATGGACAACCATGTAACTATCTTAAATAAAATAGGCCAGCACTTTCCCTAATATATCTGCATATCTACACAGAGGCAGGAGGTACAATACTCAAATTTCTAAACTTTTAAGTGCCCTTATTTCGCAATCATGCTGACTTTCGTAATCATGCTGATTTTCGTAATCATGCCCTCTTAATGTATAGTTTCTTAAAGAGATAAAACAATTTGAAAGCAAACACCACATGTTCTTACCACTAAACAGGAACTAACTGGTCGACACACATGTGCACGTGTGGAAGTAAAACTCAACGGAAATCAAGCAGGCGGGAGGAGGGGATGAGTAAAGTCACCCCTACCAGGTACAATGCACGTTATCAGGGTGACGGGCACACTTATAACTCTGACTCCAACTGTACAAAAGGAATGCATGTAGCCAAAACGTTTGTACCTCCACAATAGTCTCAAATTTAAAGTAATAATTGGTACCTTTAAAATTCAAATAAACAAAATAAAGTTATAATGCTATTCTTTTTTTGCAGTTTTTGGCTGGGACTGGGTTTGAACCCACCACCTCCAGCATCTGGGGTCAGCACCCTACTCCTTTGAGCCATAGGCGCTGCCCTTTTTTCTAAGCCAGAGTCTCACTCTTTTGCCCTAGGTAAAGTGCCATGGTGTCATCATAGCTCACATCAACCTTGAACTCTTGGGCTCAAAAGATCCTCTTGCCTCAGCCTCCCTAGTGGCCAGGACTCTAGGTGCCCACTCAGCTAGTTTTTTTCTATTTTTAGTAGCGACTGGCTCTTACTCTTGCTCAGGCTGGTCTTGAACTCCTGAGTTCAAGGGATCTACCTGCTTTAGGCTCCCAGAGTACTAGGATTACATATAAATGGTATTCCTTGAACCGAGATTGCCTTTAGATGAGATTGCAGTTATAATTTCATTATACCCACAACCTCCACCCAAGGAAAATAACAAAAAGGTCAGAAAAAGCGCCCTCTGTGAAACGAAGACTCACTGGAGTGTGACATGTTCAGCTAGAAGGCCCCTTCTTATAGCCCCTCCATCTCTACCACCCTCAATTACTAAAAAAGCAAACATCAACTCAAAAATATTCTTTCACAAGTGGCTAAAAGAAGGACAGACAGTATCTACAGCCTCCTGGGCCATATTTAATAAGGACTATAACTACACTGAAAAGTCAAAAGCCAAAGGACAAACTGGAAAATACAAACATAAATGAGAATGCACACACGCACACACACGACCTAGCCCCTATCACAAAAGGCTCTCAAATATATAAAGAGTTCCTTGAAACCAATAATAAAAAAAACTAACAATCAAATTTAAAAAGTGCAAAGGGAGTAGACAGATGTGTTGCAAAAATAAATAAGTAAATAAATAAATGTGACCCTTAAGCAGCTTGGAAAATGTTCTAACATTCATCGTAAGGAAAATGGAAATTAAGACTACACTGAGATAATATTTCTTACCCAACACACTGAATGTAGAGAGAGACACTATTGTATATTGTTGAGAGGAGTGCAAATTTTCTGTAGAAAACTTGGATATCTCTACCAAAGTAAAATTTCAAGAATTCATTCACTGTGGACCTATCAGTGCACAAAACTACCAAAAGTCCCTGCCCTTGGGGGGCTTCCGTTCTACTAAAGAGAGAACCACAAATAGTAAGTAGAATAACAGCAGATTTAGAATGTGATGTCGTGCTACATAAAAAAGAAAAGAGCAGAATACAGTGGATCAGGAATAACACGGAAATAGCTGTAATTTTTAAATAGGATCCTGAGGGCAGGCTTCATTGAGAAGGCGTTTTGCGGGAAAAGACTTGAGTGAGGTGGTAAGGTAATCAGGTAAGTCTATCTTGGGTTAAGAGCTTTCTAGGCAGGGAAAATGGCAAGTCCAAAGACCCTGTGGTAACCATGTGCCTGACATTTAATCTCAGAGAAATGATGAAACATCACAGGGTTCAGAGCAGACGAACAACATGATCTAACTTGTTTTAATGGGAGCAGTTGGGCCATCCACCGAGACTAATGAACAGGAAAACCAGAGTAAAAGCAGAAAGACCAGTCAGGAGACTAAGGAGCAAAGACAGTGGTGACTTGGAATAAAGCAGTACTTGAGTAGAAGATTCTAGGTGGAGCCAGAAAGATGTCCTGATAGACTGAATGGGGACCATGAAGCAAACACACAATCAATGATGATTTCAGAGTTTTTGGCCTGAGCGATTAGACACTGAAATGGGGAGATTATGGGAGGGGCTGATTTGGGAGGAATCAAGTTTGCGATTATCACTCATCCACGTGAATGAGTTGATGCGCAGTTAGATAAACCTACTGGCCCAGAAAACCTTTTCCTGGAAAACTGTTCTATACATACGCCTGCATAGGTGTGAATTCATATACTGAAGATCCTACAGCATATCACTATAACAGTAAAAGCTCTGAAGCAGCGGTGACTAGAAACTATACTTCTTGCCCTGTAGTCCCAGCTACTCGGGAGGCTGAGGCAAGAGAATCACTTGAGCCCAAGAGTTTGAGGTTGCAGTGAGCTATGACACCACAGTACTCTACAGAGGGCAACAAAGTGAGACTGTCTCAATAAAATAAAATAAAGAAAGAAACTATACTTCTTCAGTCTGTTTATTTCACCCCTTTTCTCAAAGACCTACAATGGTTCCCTACTGTTTTTGGAAATTAGTCCAAATTCCTTTGTCAAGTACTGTAAATTGTGATACCAACTTCCCTTTCCTAACTTGGCCCAAAACATTCCAAAAGTAAGAGTCGACATTCATCCACACAGCACCACAACGTCCACTTCTGTGCCTTTGGCCACTCTGTCCTCCCCTGGAATTCCTGCCCACCACTCCTCTGCCCAGAGACATCCCCACCTGTCATGCCCAGCCTGGATCAAGGGCAAACTCCAGGAAGCTGTCTGTGATCTGCCACCTGGAAGGAGCAGGTCCCTCTCGGGCTTGTCACACTACACCTGTTATTTCCGTGGCTCTTTCATACCATGTGTTATATACCTGAAATGCCTTTTCTTACCTCCTAAACTATAATTTCCTTAATAACTATACCCATAAATTATTGAACTTCTTATACCCTAAAGCATCTAGCAGGTTTTATATTTAGCAGGCATTAAAAAAAATATGTTATGAACGAACAAATGCATGAATTTCATATAAAGAAAAATCCCTAATTTTAATATGATGCTCTAAGAATGAAGATTTTTGGAAACTGTACTAGTGTGCAAGAGCTTCAAGATTCCCCTGAGTTTCCTGATGGATTGTGAAATGCAAAAGCTCTACCACGCCTCTCACAAATAAACCTTCCTTTCTCATCCCCCTCCTGCTTGCCTAGTGAGTTTGTTATACTTGAAGCTCTGATTTTCAGGTCTGGGACACTGACATTCTGAACCAAACGGTTCACATTTCAGGTGTGGGCAGAAGGCTTGTCTACCGTGAAGGAGCTAGAATTGGAGAAAAGAGGTTACATAAGTCAAGGTTTTTTAGATTATACAACTTACCAAGAAAAGGACTTCACGTGTTCCTGAATCATGATCCAGGTCTGGCCAAAATCATCCGACTTCCATAGCTACAAAACCAAAACAACAAGAAGGGGTCAAGGTGGAAGAGACGTGCACAGCCTGAATGGTTACGACCAAACACCCACTGGAATCCCATCTTCCATCGCCCAAGTCACCAAAGCCAATGCAGGGACTCCTAAAGCAAACCAGGGCAGGAAAGATAACTTGCACCCAGGTATCCTTCTCCACAGCCACTAAGGCTATTGAGAAATAGCAATTAAAAAGAAAAAGGAATATGATTTGCCTTCTATTTATGGATTATCAGAAATTATATTTCACTCATGACCAGTCCCTGGTAAGAAAAAAAGGATTATACTCAGCCCTTCTGGACTGAGAAGCAGTGTCCTTAAAACCCTGTAATGCATAGCAGCATTGTTCACAGTAGCTACAATGAGGATGGAACCCAAGTATCCTCTGGCAAATGAATGGGAAAGCAAGATGTGGTATATATGAGTACACGAAGTGGAATATTACTGAGACATGAAAAGGAAGTTCTGACACAGGGTAAAACAGGGATGAACCCTGAGAACATCATGTTGATTGAAGTAAATCAGACACTGTCTGATTCCAGTAGATGAGGGACCTGGAGTAGCCTAAATCATGGCGACAACAGAATGGTGATTTCCAGGACCTGAGGGCAGTGAGTTACTGTTTACTGGGTATAGAACCTCAGTTATGCAAAATGAAAAGAGCTCTAGAGATAGACGGTGGTGATGGCTGCACAACAATTTACACTTTTTTTTTAAGCCAGAGTCCCCCTCCGACACCAGGCAAGAGGTCAATGGCATCATGATCGCTCACAGCAACCTCAAACTCTTGGGTTTAAATGATCCTCTCACCTCAGACTCCCAAGTAGCTGGGCCTACAGGAGCCCATCACCATATCCGGCTACCTTTTCCATTTTTAGTAGAAGCAGGGTCTCACTCTTGCTTAGGCTGGTCTCGAACTCCTGACCTCAAGTGACCCTCCCATCTCAGCCTTCCAAAGTACTAGGATCACAGGCGTGACTCACCAGGCCCAGACAACAATATACACTTAATACCACTGAACTGCACACTTAAAGGTGGTTAAGGCAATAAATTGTATGTTATATATATTTGTATGTTATATATATTTGACCACAAAAAAAGAAAAAAATTATAATGCCTTGATAATTACAGATAAACAGAGAGGACATACAGCTTCCAAGGGTATCAACTGAATAGGAGATAGGGCTGGGAGGAATTAATCACTTTCTGATTTGTGTCAAAGCCCCTCTACTTCCACAGATGGGAACTGAGCATGCCCCTGGCCCTAGCAATTGTGAAAGAAAGCTTGAGACCAAAAATAAGATAATCCCCTGCACTGGTAAACCAACCCAACCCATGCTCAGGTTACTCCCTAAGGCCTGCAAATGTAAACAGATCTGTGTTTTGGTTAAACAACCTGCAAAGAAAAGGAACTGTTCCAAGCTTCCTCTGAGCAAAAGCATTTAAGATGCATCACAAATCTAATCCTACAGGATCTACAGGTTTCCTAGGCTTTTGCCAGACCAATATTCTTGATTTGGCACCTGCTCAGACGCTCGCCTCATTTCTCAGCTTCCCTTCAAACCTGGGTGCAGGGGAGAAAAAGGCATTTACTTGACGCACCACGCACAGGCACCCAGGCTGGAAGGAAGAACACTGGAGTTAACAGTAACTTTAACTTAGGGTTCTGGGAGGTGAAGACCAGAAGGGGAGGGTAGAGTGGAAATTCAGCAAGAACTCTCAGAAGAGGGCAGACTCCAGACTCTTCTACCTGGCTTTTTTTCTGATTGAATTCCAGGGCCGCAATTTGCCCTAAGGGCTAATAACAAAGATGCATCTGCAGAAAAAGGGCCTGATGTTTAGCTAACAGTGCCTGCCAAGCGGTTGCCGACTGAGGGAGCCAAGGGGATATATTTTTCCTGAGCCATGGTAAGTGAAATAGTACCTACGAAGGCTGAGCCTGAGAGAGGAGGAGGGAGGGGCAGGAGGCGAGGTCACTCAAAGGACACACCGCCCACACAGGCAGATTGAAAATGGAGAGGAGCCACACGAGGCTGCGTTCTGGAAGCTCTTACCTGTTTGTTGGGGTGAGACCGATCGAAGCCCAGGAGAAGGTTGGAGGCTTTACTATGGAGGAGGAGGTCAGCAGCCCGGAATGGGATAGAAAAGCCTTGGACAGTGTTGCAGAAGTCAAACGTGATCCAGAGGTACTGGGCATAAGCGTCGGCAAAGATGTACTGCAGGAGAAAACAGATGAGCTCGGGGCTGCCCTGGCCAGAGCCGCTGGGCGCTCCCCCAAGCCATGATCAAGTGCACATCCATACAGGGGGCCCCAAGCCAGGATCAAGTGCACATCCATACCGGGGGCCGCAAACCATGATCACGTGCACATCCATACAGAGGGCCGACGGGCATTAAGGGGCCGCAGCCTCATCGGGCTTCCATGGTGGTTTTCTCCCCATCTCCTCCTAAATGGAGTGAGCTGCCACATGCTAATCAAGGCTCAATAAGAAAAAGGTGCAGAGATGGGCCAGGTGAAGCCACAGAGAGTCAGCTTGTTCAACCAGGTAATGCAGCTGGTTGTGGCCATTTTTCCCTTTCCACTGCCTTGGCCATTCTTACTCCCTAGCAGTTCACTGGGTCACAGTCAGAGGGTGGTTACTGGCAGCTGGGACAGAGAAGCTCTGCTCTTCAGATTAGCCAAACCCAGATGGACTTTCCAGGAAAAGTCCAAACCCAAATATGTCTTTCCAGGAAAATCACTAAAACCACACCCATCTGAGAAGGTAAGCAAGCTTCTCCTGCTGGCTACCCTGCCAAGTGACTGGGCAGCTCCGGGGCCCACGCTGCCACTGTGGCTGGCAGGCTCACTCTGGCGCAGAGCAGGAAGTGGCTCTGGTGAGCAGGAGCCTTCCTTTATTCTGCTTCTGCATGGGTGAGTGACTCTGAACAAATTGGGCTGGAGAGGGGCTGCAGCCTGTGGAGTTCTCTGGGAATCTCCAGGCAATTCAATCTCCCAAGCGTTTTCTGCATGCCAGCCATGGGCTGGCCACTGAGGGGCCACAGTGAAAACTGAAGATCCTTTCCCCGATGTAGCTTGGAATCTAGCATGGGAGACGGACATGGCTGTAGCTTATCATCATTCAAGCCAAAACGAGGTTGAACGAGAAACCAGAGTCTTCTGAGAGCCTGTCTAGCTTGAGAGATCTGAAATGACTCCCTGGGACAGGTGGGCCTTAAAGGACAGGTAAGGCTTAGGGAAGGAACATTCCAAGCCTAGGGCTGTTAGGGTTTGACCACAAAGAGGAAGTGGGGAGGAGGACTACAACTTGGGTTTGATGACAGTTTTGAGGGCTTAAGGGAAATGATTAGAAAACAAGGCTGGAAAGCACAGGTGATGGAAGCCTTGAATGCACACCTGGGGAGACTTGGACGCCAGCCCCACTCCCAGAATAATGAGGGTGACTCAGGGGATGACACTTTGAATCAGAAACCAGAGCTACAGGGACCCAGTTCCACCCACAACCAGGCATTTAAATCCTAGAAGTCAACCGCTCCAAAGCAATCAGCCCAAGGACATTGTCCTTAATTGATTCCACCTGTCCACCTGATCCAGCTCAATCCTGGGCTCTGAATCCTTTCAGCCCACGGTCTTGGCCTGGACTAACATTTCAGCCCTGTTCCCATGTTGCTTTCAGATGCTCTTAACTCCTTTTCATTTGTACACTCTTTACCCAAATCCAGACTATAAACCGCCCAGGGACACATTTAGTGAGTTTTCTCTTAGGTTTCCTCCTTGGCACCTACAGTGAATCTCCAAACTCTGCAGAAGCCAGATTAAATCTAACTGGAAAAGGTAGTAAATGTTTTGAAAGCAAAAACAACCATAAGAAAATGTAATGTTACAAAAACCAATTATGATCCTACAAGGATCATTATGATTTGGGAGTGTGAAGTTATTCCCTAGAAATAACTTAGCCCATCTTCCTGCTCCCAAACCACCTTAATTATTAGGGAAGGGAGCATTCCCAGTTTCAAAAGATATCTCCAGAAATCTATTTCATAGTTTCCTGCAGTCTCGCGTTTGAGAAGGTAATGCTAAAACTTAGGAAGTCATAAAACTTACTGCATTATGATTCGTGGTAGTAGCTAAAATTTTTCAAGAGCACTTACTATGTGCCAGGCACTGAGCTAGAAGTTTTGCGTGGCCTTCTCTGACTTAGTTCCTGCACTGCTCACAACAACTCAATGCTCTGGATGTTACGGTGCCACACCCTCTTTTGATAATGCATGCGCTGAGGTTTAGAGAGGTTAACCACCCAGGGTGACGCAGACAAGGCACTATTAACATCTATATCTGCCTGGTTCACAGCCCATCTCTTAACAGTTCATCAATCCTTATCTCTCTTCTTCTGACAAAGAAAAAGCAGCATTTCCTGAAAGTAATTCATAGATCTTACATTGTACCATCTGACTCACTTGCGCACTTTCTCTCCCACTCCACTCCTGTTGGCTGGAAACTCTCTCCCCCAGCCCTCCAGGACATTCCCCTCTCAACTCTCCATCCCCTACGCCTGGGTAACTGGATGGCTCCTTCCTCTCCAGATACCTCCTGCTCTCAAATACTCTCACTGCTCTTCCATCCTTCACTGCTACAGTTGGGTATCCTTCCACAAAGCTTTAGCAACTGCCTCTGGGAACAAGCAGGGCATTTCCAACCCTCACTTCTCACTGAGATTCTACTTCTGTTTCTTTTTTATAGTTTCAGCATCTCCACTTTTGATGGACCACGATATTTTACTACGTCCAAAACTTCAGACCCCCCCAAAACCAATTCTGTCTCCCCACATTTCAAATTCTCCCCCTGCTATACCTATTCCCAGTCCAGCTGCTCCCAAGTAGACTTGGGTCTTTACTCCCATCTCCCCTTCAACCCCACTCTCAACCAACCACCTACCCTCTTTTTTCCTTTGAAATCTTTCTCAAAACCTGTGCCTTGCTTTTTACTCCCTGTGCTACCAACATGGCCCAGGTCCTTACTAAAGATCGAGGCAAACTGGGGCATAGGCAATGGGCTTTCTTCATCCTCATTCCTTCAAGCACCTTAGTGAAATACTTAGAGTGAAGACAGGTTTGGATGAGTGACAGCTAGTTCTTGCATACATGGCCACAATGGTTCCCTTTCTGGACTCTTCTTAATCTTTTCCTCCCAACTCATCATAAATATTGCCAGGAGATGTTTCTTTTAGACGTTTCTCTAAAAGACACTATCCAGTCACTTCCCTACTCAAAGATTCTTCCAGGGCTCCCTGCAGTCCCAGAGAGGAGGACAGGGACCTGTTCAACTCTGCAAAGCAACTCAGAGGAAACCACCCACCCTAAAAAGCAAATCTTGCTGTCCTGCAAGGAAACCAAATGTTGGAACCTCGAAGTCTCCGCCCCCGCCCTTCTCCTCCTGGAGGGCTCCCACCAACTCCATTCTACCTTCTGAGGTCACATGTCCATCCTTGAAGCTCCATTTCTAACCTGACCTGACTTCCCTAATCCAACCCCACTGAATTCCCCTGCCTCTAAACTGGGCACAGGGTGCTTCATCCTGTTATGTGGCATGTTACAAATGTGCGTGTTAGGGAGACACAAAGTACCCCACTCTGCTTCTGCATCAACTCCCTATTCTGCCTGGCTGTCCAGTTTCCCAGAGGCCAACCCCCCAGACTGACCAGCAGCAGACCTACCAGGTGCTGTCCAAACTGTGCAGTTTCAGAAGTATTGTCGTGTACCCCAACCTCTCCATCCTAGTTTGCACTTAAGATTTCAGAGGAGCTTCAACCTTTGCCTTAAAGCTCTGAAAATACAAATATCTATGGAAAAACAAGCTACAAAATGTTATCTACCAGTGATTAGCATCAGAGACTCTCTCTAGTTTTGCCTGGAGAAACCACGTGCACCATGACAGAATGAAGAGTAGTGAAGGCAATGAAAGAACATCCGTCTAGAAGGTGAGAGCAAAGGGAGAGAGAATTGTCCTGCAATTTTACCTAGAAACAACCTCTGCCTGGAAAAAGGCAGCATTGTTCTCACTTCTGCTATTGAGGGTGTGAAGCCTAACTCCACTTCCATGGCCTTTTTTAAAGAGCCCCGGGTATATTTAGACTCTGTCTGACCAATCTCGGGGGCCCCACAAGGCTTGTGCAACTGGGGCGGGAGCTTCACACTGGCTCAGAGCACAAGGGTGCTCAGCAGGGAAGCAGGACCGCTGGGCAATACCAAAATAGACCCAGAACTCAGATGGCCCCAGGACTGCTCCAGCTCCATCACAAGGCTCAGCCTCTAACCTGGCACACCACCCCCCAACCGTCCCCAGGCCTACATTCCTCCCAGAGGGCCCTTTCCTAACATCTTAACCATTCAGAGCACCTGCTAACATTCATTTCAACCATTTCAAATGCTCTTTGACAGCCCACCCAACATCTTCACTCAGGCCTGGGCTGAGCAGCCCACTGTTGACAGCAAGGTCCCCAGCCTTGTGTGATTTTTCTCAGGAAGTGGTATGTCTGGTGGGGCAATCTGCCTTCCAGGGGACAAAGGCAAAAGTACCAAAAGCAATCAGCACCGTTAAGAGTCATCATTTCCTTCCTGAGAAGTCTTGGGAGGGTTAACAGCCTTCTCTGGGGAATCAGAAACTCTGTAGAAAATGCTGCCTCCCCATCCCACTCAGCCTAGTCCAGGTCTGAGGTCCAGCTGCCATCAGGTTGGTCATCTCCACCAACTCCAAAGCACATTCAGTTCACCCATGAAAGATCTAAGATGTACCACTCTTGAAATCAGACAGCACATGGGCTGCACGCAGCTTACCCCATCTCACCATGCAGCACCCAAACTCCTTTGTTATAATCATCCCCAGGCTGTGCCCCGCCTCCTGCCTCAGTGGCATGGCCCTGCTCCGCTCCTTCTCCAAAACCCAATGCCGCAAAGCCCCAGATTCCCTGCCTGCTCTAAACCTCCAACTGCACGGCCAAGACCTCATTTTTCCCATCTTCTGACTCTTCAGACTTGTGGTCTTTGCAGCTGCTCACAAGCCACACGACAAGCAGGAAGGAAGACGGATGGAACCTGCCTACAGACATCTGTGCACTATGGGAGGAGGTGGGGAGGAGACAGACGGAGCTGAAAAGGAGATTCCTGGAGACAACAGGGCAATTTCAAGGCCAGGACTTCAGCAAGAGTTAGCTCTGAGGCCATGTACAAATATAACAACAGTAATCAGGTAAGCACAACGTGATAAAGTAATCCAAGTGTTGATTGGTTTTTTCCCAAATTCATTCTTTAAATTAACATCACCGTTTATCACATGCAACATGATGCTCTGAAGCTCATACACAGTGTGAACTGATTATATCTAGCTAATTAACCAATGCATGACCTCACCTAGTTATTTTTGTGGTAAGAACACTGAACATCCACTGTCTCTGCGTTTTTTAGACATATAGTAAATCAGCAAGTGTTATTTGCTTCTTGAGAGGCAGGGGGGCAGGCACATCTGTCCAGAGGAAAGACAGAGCAAGCTGGGCCCTGGGCAGGGGAGCCCAGGGAAAGGTGGGCAGAGAGGCCCAGCCACCCTGGGAGTCCAGGACCAGGTCTGTCTGTCACAGTGTCCTGCCCGTGCAGTGGAGGGGAGAACACAGGGCCAGCTACCCGTCTACACAGCCAATCCCCTTGGATACCTTCTCCTTGCTTTTTTTTTTTTTTTTTTTGCGCTTTTTTGACAGGGCTGGGTTTGAACCCACCACCTCCGACATATGGGGCTGGCGCCCTACTCCTTGAGCCACAGGTGTCGCCCCTTCTCCTTGCTTTTTACCTCTGGGGAGGGTGCTGGCCTGCTCTGTCACCCAGGAATTACGTAAGAGAGGGAAGTTTGCCCCTAACTGCTACTCCCTTCTGAGATCATTAGGCAGAGCTGATATTTAACCAGCATGTACCAGTAATGATTATTCCAGTTGTTTAAAAAAAAACAACAGCCCTATACCAGCTGCCCTGAAACGGACAAGTGGCTCTTCCTGAAGCCAAAGGGGCCTGGACCCTTCCCCTAGGACCTCCCCCCAACCCAGTAGCTAAAAGGTTAAATGCCAGCCCAGCAGGGGTCCCCCAGGACCCATCCCCCTCCAGACAGGGTCTGCTCTGATTGGTCAGTACCAAAGCCCCAGCAGAGGCTAAACATTGTGAAGGCAGCTCCTGCTAAGAGACCTCAGACCTCTGCCACTTGAGAGACCAGCACTGGGGATCTGGGAAGCAGACTCTGTAGACAGATCTTGCTGAATTGTTCCTTCCTAGAGCCACAGAAAGCAGCACGGACCCTTCCCTCAGAAAGCTTTTGCAACTAGCAAGTCTTTCTTGGTTTCTCTATGAAAGATCTTTACCTCAAAAGCAATTAATGTAACCTGCTTCTGTGTACCCTCTACGAATCCCCAACAATTAAAAAAAAAAATCGTTACCTGGAAGAGGTCATCTGGCCTGGAAACTAGGTAACACAGGAGTGGGGGTGGGGGGGGAAGGCAATCCAACACAAGGCTCCCTGATCAGTGGGAAGCCTTACAGCAGGGGGCTGGATTCCTGCTCCCCCCAACACACACACACATACACACACACACACACACACACCCCTCCCTGGAGGCCCAGGGTCAATGCTTCCTCTGAATCAAATTGCCTAACCAAGGAAAAAGCCCCCCAAGGCCAGCCAGCTGGGAAAACAAAGCAGGAGGCATGGTGATATCTGGTGCCTTGGTTTTCTTTCCTTTATATCAGTGTAGATTCAGAGAGGGAGGAAAAAGAAGAGAGCACCAATTCATGCGCACACACAGAGGTACATGCACACGTGCACACCTATGCACACATGTACAGGTACACTGATGATGTCTTAGTAGACATGGTCAGACCACAGTGTTAGTCCCAATATACCTGGGAAACATTTTTTTCCACCTGCGAGTCAGGCGATTTATTAACCAGCTGATTTTCTGTGATTTAATACACGACTGTTTGTCTAGAAATCCTGCCTGACCAGTATTTGCCCTACATGATTAAACACAGACCCACCCATTCTGCCACAGACTCCCAGGTAGCACAAAAACAGTTGCTGGCCACCAGTCACGCTGCAAAGATCACAAAGAGGGCCACTTGCCAGGCACCCCCTAGGTGCGGCAGTCCCTGCAGGAGGGCAGTCCCTGCAGGACGCAGTCCCATGTGGGGAGGAGACGGGCCCAGCTCCCTCCTTACCCGCCCAGCTCCCTCCTTACCCGTTTGTTGTCCGCAGGACTGTGGTAGAACTGGGCAATCACGGCTTCGCTGCTGTTTCCCACACCAAAGTTCAGCTTCTCTGAAATTTTCTTGAATGATTTTCCATAGTCATAAGACACATACACCTGGGATACAGAGCAGGAGACGAGAAAGAAAATAGCTGATGAGAAACTGGGCAGAAAGACCTCTCACCCTCGTCCACGTTCAAACATCCCACCCTGGACCCCAAAGAGGGCTCCCATGAGGTCCCTGATACCATGAAGATTACAGGTGCTACCAGATAACCCCCAAAGGAGAAGCAGGCACCTCTGTCGGTCCCCAAGTGTGTGGGGACAATACACTGGGGTCTTTTCTGAGGCCAAGGCAAGTCCCCGGAGCAGGAGACAAATGACAGAAACAATAATAACCTCATCACCACAGCTGGGTTAAGTGTTTAACAAATTGCATCCAAGGGCAGACAAAACGTGGCTGTCAGAGGGGAAAGGGGTTGTGAATTTGCTTTGCCATCTGTTAAACTGTCCCCCAAATGTAATCAAATTCTTCATCCCTCAGCAAGGAGGTTCTGCTCCGACAGCATTCCATGCTTAAGAAAAACATCGTGGGTCTTCACCAAGTAGCCCAAGAGATGGGAAAGAAAGAAAGCGAAGTAATTCAATGCACAGAGGTTCCAACATTGGTCGCAGAATCCCTTCTCCAGCACTAGCGTCTGTAGACAGCAGACACTAACAACAACAGATTTTGTGCATTTGCCAAGAGTAATTCCTGATCTCTGTCTATGCAGCGACCAGTGACAAAACGTAAGAGTGTCTGTCACTCACTGAATGCTCACTTGGTGCACATACAGTATTAACCTCTTCAAATGAGTGAGCACAGTTAACTCTCCCAAGGGCCCTACACAGAAAGTGCAATCAGTAAAACTATTTTACGGGCAACACAACAGAAGCTTATGAGATGAGTCCCCTGCCAAGGTAACAAAGAATGTAAGTAGCAGAGTGGGATTCTGACCCAGGACACCTGCCTCCAAAGCCAGCGGTCTTAAAGTCATTATCACAGGTAACAAATACTAGAATGAAAGTGGCCAGATTTTGTGCCTGGACTTTACTACCAGTGAGCTATGAAATATAATTAATACAATTGTTGAGTTAAAAACAAGCCTGACAGATGAATGTAACAACTTATTTTTTAAGTGATGTATGTGATAGTGAATTGGGGTAGGGATGGAAGGAAAATGACAGGTCAATCTCAAAAAGAACAGAAACTACTAGACTAACCCCAGGGAGTGTGTTACCATCCTCGCCCTTCTGTGTCAACAGCAAACATGCTTGAGGGTTTTACATGAGCCAGGGACTGTGCTAGGCTTCAGACATACAGACACTAATAAGTTAAAGACCTGGCCTTTAGATACAACGTGTGTAGATGTTTGTCATGTTTGTAAACAATGCCCTATATTAACATAAGGCAGGTACAAGGGCAACTGAGAGCACACACAGGTGCCTAATACTTATTAGATGTCAAGGTTAGAAGAAGCCAAGGCAGAGCCTCTGCCTTTATCTGGGTCACAGTGGAAGAAACTATTAGAGCACACGGTATGGATTCCTGACTACCAACCACACAGTACGAGGCTGCCACAAACACAGCTTCAGAATTTCTGCAGGGGGTGGCACCAGTAGCTCAAGGAGTATTTGCAGGGGGTGGCACCTGTGGCTCAAGGAATAGGGCACCAGCCCCATATACCAGAGATGGCGGGTTCAAACCCAGCCCCGGCCAAAAACTGCAACCAAAGAGTTTGAGGTTGCTGTGAGCTGTGACACCACATCACTCTATCAAAGGTGACCTAGTGTAAATAATTCACAAAAAAAAAAAAAAAACCCCGAAAGAAGAAAGAATTTCTGCAGGCAGGCCAGGCATGGTGGCTGACGGCTGTAATCCTAGCACTCGGGAAGGCTGAAGCAGGTAGATCCCTTGAGCTCAGGAGTTCAAGACCAGCCTGTGCAAGACAGAGACCCCATCTCTTCTAAAAATAAGAAAACAAGGCAGGTGCAGTGGTGGGCACCTGTAATCTTAGCACTCTAGGAGGCTGAGGTGGGTGGACCACCTGAGCTCAGGAGTTCAAGACCAGCCTGAGCAAGAGTGAGACCCCCTCCCTAAAAAAAATAATAGCCAGGTATTGTGGCAGGCACTTATAGTCCTAGCCACTCAGGAGGCTGAGACAAGAAGATTGCCTGAGCCCAAAAGATGGAGGTTGCTGTGAGCTATGATGATGCCACACACAGCACTCTACCCAGGTTAACAGAGTGAGACTCTGCCTCAAAGAAAAAAAAAAAAATAGAATTTCTGTAGGTTGAGAATCTGAGTAAAATGATGAAGCATAACATTCTCACTTCCATTCTGCTGGCAACAAATGGACATTCACCTCCTGGTTAGGTTCAGAAGTCACATAAGCAAATTAATGGCTTCTCAGAAAGGGAACCAAGGCCCTGTGCAGCTCCAACATCCCGGAATTTGACTAGGCACTGTGGTTTATTTCCCCAGAAGCACACACGTGATGGTGTCCGTCGGGGTAGCATTTTTCAGTATACGATATTCCTCCAGGTGCATTACCACCCTGCTTATTTACAAACCCTCTCAGATACTCCCACCTTTGTCTCCTTCAGTTCACCTGCAGTGTAGCAGGTGTTCAATAATGATTTCTGGAATGAGTATCATTATAAACCAAAGAATAAATGATCGTGTTAAGTCCAATAATGAAAAAGAGGGAACAGAATGAATCCATGAGAGAGTAACTATTCCCTTTTAAGAAGTAAAAATACTCAGAGAATTGAGTGACTAGCCTGAGGTCATACTGCTAGCGAGGGACAAAACTATGACACTTTCTTCCCATTTCAAATCCAGTTGTCTCTACTCCTGCAAGTTACCTTCTAGAATGTTCTCTTTACCATACATTTCTCCATTAAAAAGAAAGGCCATATGCCAAATCCATGGACCAAGCACTCAAGGGAACGCTGGCCAGCAGGGAGAGACAACTCACTTTCACAAAGCCTTTCCCAGATTCTCTGCCATCGGGCACTTGGAGATAAAACCACCTTCACTACCAAAAATCTCTTCCTTAATTCTCACCAGCAAACACAACCCATCACTTTGGGTCTTAATACTTAACAGAAGGTGAAAGTAAGTAAGTATGTTAGGGTCCCTCTTATGCCAACAGTCCATCAGGAATTCTTCATCAGCCTTCTTTCTCCAGCTTGAAAAACTCCAGCACAGTATTTGGATCCTATCCCCATAATTTTCATTTCTATTTGATTAATACAGACTATAAACTCCACCACACTCAGGACTGGCACTTTCCTCCAAGGGATCCACTTTCCTCCAAGTTGAGCAGGCCAGAAAAGGCCTCTGCCAGTGTGCGGTTGACACCAAGGGGGCCGATGGTCTTGACAATGCACCCTCCCTTGTGCACGGAGGCTGGGGCTGTCTTTTCTTCACGGCACCACTATGCCGCTGACACAGTCTGCTACCATCTCCAGGTCAATTTGGGAAAACACCTTGGACTTCTTCTCACACTTCTATAGTTTATTTTTCATCCAGACACAGATTTCTGCACTAATAGTCCTCCCTGACCTCACCATGACATCACCCCCTAAAGAACAGAACAGAGCAGGGAAGGAGGTGATAAACCACTTAAAATTGATGGTTAGATCCTTTTTTTACCTAGAAAGAGGGTTCCCCAAACTGAGTGTTTCACATTCTTTCCCTTGTATTTCAAAACCATATAATAGTAGTGAGAAGGGTGAGGCAGAGGGCTCCAGTATGCAGAGAGCCTGGCCACATCTGAGTAGAGCAGTGTTTCTCAAACTTTAATAGGCCTACAGAGCCCCTTGTAAGACACTGGCCAAATGCAGGTTCCAATTCAAAAGTCTGTTGTGGGACCTGAGATTGTAGATTTCTAACCAGCTCCCAGAAAACTCCCATGGGCTGACCGACAGACCCAACTCTGGGTGGCACAATTTTACAAGTACAGTCTCAACCATGGATGAGAAGACCAAGAAAAAGTAAACACCTTGGCCCAAGGTCAGACTGGCAATGAACAACGGGCAGAGCCAGGACTCCAACCCAGGCCTTCAGACCCCAGCCTTCTGCTGTTAGCAAGTACTGACCCTGCTCAAACCCAAGGGGCACCAATCTTAACGTCCACCACTGCGACCCAAGGGCAGAGGGTCCTGTCAGTGATGGGATTGTCCCTGGCTGATTCCTACCTTCTGGTGGACACAATGTCTGGACAGTATTTCAGCCAGTTATGTTGTAGCCGAGTACTTTATAACCCTCAGTGCTTTGTAAAAGATGTCAAGAGAACAGAAACGGAGTTAGGAAGGGTCAAAAGAAAGATCTATTGTTTCCTTTCACGAACTTATCACAGAAAAGACCAGCCCTGCAGAAGCCAGACTCATGGTGGAATCATGCTGGCTACAAGTTCATCAGGCAATGACTATTTTTTTTTTTAATTTTTTCCTATTTAAAAGCAAACCTTTCTGGATTCCAGCCTCCAAAACTGTCCCTTTTTGTATACTGAGTACGAACGACCCTGGCCATTGTCCAGCACTCACAGAGTTCCTGATTTATGTAAGTTCTCTCCCTCCTGGATTGCTGACAGGGCCTTATGCTCTCCGTCCTCTTTAAAGAAAATTTAGACTGTTACTACTCCAGCTCCATCAACTCCTGCCTCTGAGTCATAACTTATTTTTGCATTAATTTTTCACATCAGAACATCTTGGTTTCATCTGCCAATCCTTTAATGTAGTTTGTACACAGATGGAGGAAATTTCTGCCATCCTTATTTATTAACCCTGGGCATTAAGTTGGCTTTCCATTTAATCTTATCTACTCCAGTAGTAAGCTGACTGCCCACGAGACTGCTACAGGTTGGTTGACACACGGAGGTGGTCAACATAAAGGACTAGGCCTCCTGTCCTGACATGTACATGTGGTCCATGTAGCTGCATGAAAATGAGGCCAACTTAAAGAGGTGGTCCATGTAGGGAAATGGTCAACTATGGAGGGTCTACTGTATTTCATCACTTTAAAAGTTCAACGGGCTCTCTGTAAGACACACCTAGATGTGGGTTTGAGTAGCCTGGTAATACTTAGAATAACCAACCATCCTGGTTTACCCAGGACTTAAGAAGGAGGAGGACGTAGAGCTTTCAGCACCAGAACCCAGACCAGTTGGTCATCCTACCAACACCACATGTTCACACACTTAAGTCCATTAAGACTGGGCCTTAATTCTTATTCCAACTCTTCCCCTGCCATGCCGAGTGACCTCATACAAGTCCCTTTATACCTCTAGGCTCCTGTTTGTCCAGCAAAACTATAAAACAACAGTTGAGGTCTTCTTCCTACCTCACAAAAAATATCTGGGGAAATAATTTTTTTTTAATGGATAAAAACTGGGAGGAGGTGTTCTCAATACAGTAGAGCGTAGAGTTGTCTCCTGTGCCCAAAGCAATACCTGTGGGCAGAGATCTGTTTGAACCCACATACAGGTGCCTACGGAGTGTCACACAGAGCCAGCAGGCATTTGTACATGGCTGTCTGCACCCACAGCTGAAGTTTGCAAAACCTAATCACATTTATAAATGGCCCCAAATCACTGGCCCCGACAAGTCTAGCCCTGCTCCAGAGCTCCACACCCAGACTGGCCGTCAGCAACAGTGGTTTTCCATATGCCATGGCTCAGGACCCACCCTGGATAAGGCTTATGCATCACTGCAGCCAGCCCTTCTGCCCTCCCTGTCTGTGGCTGCTTCAATTCAGGTCACTGGAAAATAGCCTCCAGGGCTTCGTCCAATCAGCCACCTAGAACACACCACACCCACACGGCAGACACACCGAGAGGGACCTCAGGGAGACCAAAACTGTACTAAAGAACTCCAACTATGAGCCAGGTATAGTGGCTCACACCTAGAATCCTAGCACTCCAGGAGCGATGGTGGAAGGACTTGCTAGAGCTCAGCAGTTTGAGACCAGCCTGAGCAAGAGTGAAATTCTATCTGTACTAAAAACACAAAAATTAGCCGAGTGTTGTGGCAGGTGCCTATAGTTCCAGCTACTAGGGAGGCTGAGGCAGGAGGATGGCTTGAGCCCAGGAACTTGAGGTTGCTATGAGCTAGACTGACCTCACAGCACTCCACCCAGGGTGACACAGTGACACTCTGTCTTAAAAAAAAATAAAATAAAATAACCACAAGTGCATCCTTAAGGCTGATGTGAAAGTGTTGGCACATTCACAAAGAGGTGTCCTCTGGCCAGAATACAAAGTGATCAATCCTCTAGATTATGTGAGCATGTTCTGTCCACAGCCTCACCCTACAGTGTAAGGCCCTGATCCGAGGCAAGGGATGTCCCTCTTTTCCACTAAGAGGGGTCTAGAGGAACACTGGCTATAGACTTGGGACCCAAGGGCCAGCTCCACTCTCATGTACGTTTCACTTGGCTCACTCGTTGTCTGTAAAAACTATACACTGGCTGCCAACTTGTAAGACTCAGCAGTTTTCACATAAAAATCCAGCCTCTGAGCTTCTCTCAAAAAAATCAGAAGATCTAGCAACACTGGACCCTAGATCCTACCTAGTAACTAGAGCCTAGAACTGATTAGCAGCCGCCCCTTATAAGTATTTCTTCTTCAACTCACTCAAGTCCCTTCCACTTCCTAGCACCTCTCCAACACGAGAGAGACCAGGTACCAATCATCACATTCAACTTGAGACACAGATGAATGTTTCTTGAATCTGTACCAAGAAATGGCATATTGTCCAAGAGGGCCACAGGTATCAAGGAAAAGCCAGAGAGACCATTTCTCTTTGCAGAGGTGAAGATCGTAAATGCAAAGGCAGCTTCACTCCTGTCCTTTACCTGCCTGGCCCCTCATGGACCTTTGCATTTTATAACCCTTGGTCTCATGTCTTCAGAGCACCCAACTTATTAAACACTGTAAACAGCCAGTTTCAACAGCTCACCCAAATGTAACGGGCTAGGAGAAATCAGCTCGTGGGTAAGACCGATGCGATTCGATCCAGCTCCACTGCAAGCAGGAAGCTCAGGAACACACTTCTGGCATTTTCTCGAACAGGTATGACCACCTGGACCATCACCCTTCACAAAGGTCATCACACATTGCTCAGATCTGTCTATAACACTGACCGCACCACCCTGTGCTCAGCAAACAAGGGGTATATAATTTTCTAAATTCTCTTCCCTGTCATTTAATTCATCCCATTCATTCCCCAATTACCCAGCAGATCAGAAAAGGGCAAGTCAATGGCACCAAGGTGTGGCCAGAGCCACGCGAATACTTACATCACTGCTCTTGGGCCTTGCCAGCGCCAGGCTATCTCGGGCCAAGGCCACGATCACGTTGCTTTTCTCTCCGGCCCAGTGCACCACCATCTGATTGTGGGAATCATTCAGACTAACCTGAAAGAGATCAACACAGGAATGAGGACCCACAATGAGGGACAGCCACAAACATTCTAAATCAAGCCTCTTTCCTCCTCTGTCAATCAGAAATGACTAAGATTCTTGCACCTACAGCATTTGGGCGAGGGTGTTCTATATTCGCACACCCCCATCCCCGTACATATTTCATCAGCTTCAACTTCCGCAGGAAGAAACAGGAGTCCCCCGCTATTTCAAATGTTAACATTACATTGTCCACTGGATTACAGAAGATCTTCTTGGGCTCTTACTGGCATGATATTTTAACCAATTCCTCTGCTTACTTTCATCCTTTGTGTTATCAATCTCTGGTTAGTATGATCCCTATTCCACATGTGTGACATGCACTGGTTAAGATATTCAATCAAAACATTGGAACATCTACATCTTCCAAATTCAAAAAAAATTAACAGGCCAGTCAAACTTCTATTCAAACCAATCGTTTTTCTCTGGCCTGGAGGTATTAGGTTATTCATTTTTGGCCTATAATGAGAGATGAGAAAAGAAGGTCTCATTGTGATGTTTTTTGTTTTACTAGATGTAGAATATAAATGTCTTAACACAATAACTAGGAGAATGCCATGAAAGCTGACCAGTTTGATGAAAGTATTTCAAATTGTATGTAAAACCAGCACATTGTACCCTATGATTGCATTAATGTACACAGCTATGATTTAATTTAAAAAAAATAAAAATAAAAATAAAAATTATTTTTGGGCAGGGCATGGTGGTCCACCGCTGTAATCCCAGCACTCTGGGAGGCCGAGGTGGAAGGATCCCTTGAGCCCAGGAGTTTGAGACCAGCCTTAGTAAGAGCAAGACCCCAACTCTACTAAAAATAGGAAAAACAATCTAGCCAGGTGTTGTGGTGTATGCCTTTTTAGTTCTAGCTACTTGGGAGACTGAGGCAGGAAGAGCACTTGAACCCAGGAGCGTGAGGTTGCTGTGAGTTAGGGTGATGCCACTGCACTCTAGCCTGGGCAACAGAGACTCTGCCTTAAAAAAAAAAAAAAAAGTTTTGAAGTGCCCAAAGTAAGGAAACATTCCCCAGAACTCACTGAAAATGATCTTTGGATTATGGCTAACAGTAGTTCTTAGCCTTTCAGATTTTTGTAAACCAGTAAAATAAGAATAAAGTAGGAAGGCCAAGAGAGGATTGGTTGGCAACTTCTATTTTTTTTTTTTTTAATGTTTTGGATTCATTGAGGGTCCAAAGAATTAGGTTACACTGATTGTGCTTGTTAGATAAAGTCCCTCTTAAATTGTGTCCCACCCCAAGAGGTGTGCCATACACTGTCTCCCCCATTCCCTTCCTGAGCAACTTCTATTAATATTTTGCCAGGGAAGGACATTAACAAAAACAGGCACTGTGTCAGAGCTTGACTAGCTTTTCTCTAAATCTTTTTCCTTTGCCTCCTAGGGACACCACAGACTCTTGCCTCAGTGGTGATGCAGTGAGAGGTAGCCCTGGGACTGAGCTCCAGCCAGTGCAATATGGGAGAAGATTGTCTGACCACCACTGGCCCTACCTGATCACCCCCACACTGCCCTGTGTCTTTCCCATCTTCAGGCCGCATCCAGAGGGGACTCCACAATCCCAGAGGAGAGCAGAGATGCAAGACAGAGGCGCCTGGCTCCCTAAGGAGAAAGCCCTCTGCTAATCAGTAACACTCACCTTGAACTTCTCCTCATCCAGTGACATATTTGCCCCAGTAGCTTTTGGGATCTGCCTGTTACCTAGCTAGCCCCCCACTAAGCCATGTCACCGTCATTCTTAAAAAGACATTTTAACATCTAAAACTGAGGAACAATATAATCTCAGAATAAAAAACGATGCTTTGGCATTATGGAAAGCTACAAGACTTTTTTTCTTATTTCACCATTCACTGGCGGCCCCCAGCCCAAAGACTGCCATTTCAGGACATGTGAGCCAGACATTTCATACACTCTGTGCGGAAAGCAAAACAATGAGAATAATAAAATTTCTGATTTCCCCCCAAATCAGATGGTCTGGGAGAAGCCTCTTCCACCAGCATCCTTGGCTGTCTCAGGCACATGTAGATGGAAACTGAGATTCTAAGACTCCGACCCACACCGTCTCGCCCGGCCCACTGTCATCCACACTCAGCTGTCTTCCCAGCAAGGCACTGCAGCAGAAAACCCACAGCAACTTTCTCCTGCTTTCGCTTCCCTCCCCCACCAGACACGCCCAGCCCCTCCCTGAAGTGCTCTCAGATGTCACAAGGGAAAAGAGAAACACCTGTGCCAGGAACTTGGCAGACAGAAGGACAAAGGAGCTAATCCTTAACCACTTTTCTTGGGGGTGTTAAGCACCTGCGCCTAACTTTGGTGATGCCATATCCGAACTCTTTAGAAAAGCATTTGGAATAAGACCTTTTCAGGTACAGGACCTTAGGAATCCATATCATTCCAAACGGTTCCTTCTCATTCTCAGATAAGTCCAGGCACGCATCAACAGAGAAGTGCAAACAAAAAAATAGAGAAGTAAATAAATTATTTAGCCCAGAATGCTGCAAAGAGAATGCAGCTAATGGAATCCCTACTGGTCACTGAAGCATTCCCTTGCTCTCTCTCTCCTTGCAGCCCAAGTCTCTGGGAAGAATTCAGCAGCATCTATGGGTCAGAAGCCCATCAGCACAGGGAACTCAGCTGAAGTGTTCTCCTCTCCCCAAACATGCCCACTCTTGGGACCAGAGGGAGATAGAAAACTATGCAAATGTTAATACAGTAAAGGACTAGAAACTTAGAAAAATCACCCCCATTCACCTGGGGTCTGGGAAGAGGAAGTCCTCCCACATTCAACTTGGGCATCCTCAAAGATGAAATCAAAACGTTCTTTCTAGGGGTGGTGCCTGTGGCTCAAAGGAGTAGGGCGCCGGCCCCATATGCCAGAGGTGGCGGGTTCACCAGCCCTGGCCAAAAACTGCAAAAAAAAAAAAAAAAAGCCATTACTAGCAGGTGACAACCAGACAATGCTTTGAGTAGGTTACTAAGCTTTCAGTGATCAGAGTGGAAAAAAGCTCTGAAAACAGCTTGCCAAAAGTCTGTCTACTCAGAAAACATGAGATTTATGAGACACCACCACCACCATCAATCCCTGCACAGGTGAAGGGTGAGAAGGCCACGGAGGACAAGCCTCAAAACGTCCAAGGGCTTTTTTACAAAGCAAACCTCTAGAAGGCAAGCTTGGTGAAACACCTGTTGTGTTTTTTGCTTCTTAACAACAGGCTTTTTTGTTAGATGTCCCTTTTATTCCTAAGGGCAGACTGTAAAAGGGCAGTCCATGTGGGGGGGGAGAAATCCCTGGCAAGAAATGACCTGTCAGAGGGCCACCAGGCGCTCACACCAACAGTCCGGCTTGTTTGCTTGGCGAGATGTCAGGCACATCCTGGTCATGAGAATAACTCCCTGGTGAGTCATGGCTGATCCCCAAGGCAGCCCAGGCACCCATCCCCCAAAGCACAAGACCAGAATCAGGGGCAGGAAACGATGCACCCAGAAGACAGGAGAGCTAGCAGGCAGGCGGGCAGAAGGAGAGTTTTATTAAAGCCAGAGCAGGCATCCTCTCTGGCCTCACCTTCCTCCTCCCCAACCTCAAGGGAAACAGAGGAAGGAGTCGGCAGAGCTCCCTGTGGAACGTGGCCAAGACACCAGCAGCGCAGGGCAGGTCCTCACGGCGAATCAGCAGCTTCCGGGTTTGTTTGGGTCCTTTCCCATCCCCTGCCCTCCTCCTCCCCAAAGCCTCTGGGGCAGCTACAGGCTTCCAGGTCGCTCATAGCTGCCTTGCCTACTGTGCCCCACAGACGGTCTGGGAAGGGAGAGGATGGGAGGGCGGCTTTCCCAGGAACATAAGCTTGATGTGCAATCATTTATAACCACAACCCCAGGGCGTGAACAACCTTCCCTCTCCCGTCTCTAGCTCCCCGGGCCATAGCTGGAGCTTGATAAATGAAACACAATTAATTGGAGCTGTTGAGGTAGAGCAAGGAGGTGGCAAGTTCCTCCCCTCAGAAGGCAAACAGAAAAACCCCATGCTTCAGGAAGCTCAGGACACAAAAACCACATCAAAAACCAAAACAGAGGCTGTTAGGCTAATGAACCTACGGTTAATGAGTCTAGATAACCCCAAGACACACCCCTGTCCTGGGGTCCCATGCCTGGCTGACAGGAGAGGCCCCACCCAGTACCTGCTGGTTCAGAAGACCCCCTGCCTGGAGCCCAGGAATCAGTATCTGTAAAAGACACATCCCGGGTGTGTCTAACTCAGATTACTTGGGGGACAATGAATCTAGTCAATTCCCTGCCTCTTGGCAGGAGGTGGGACTAAATGACACTGTCTAGGAGGACTCAGCCTTTTTAGGGAGGTTATCTTCAGGATCTGGGATGCCTGTTAGGACTCCTGGACATGCTGATATACTACAATGTGGACGAACCTTGAAAACAATCTGCCCAGTGAAAGAAGCTGGACACGAAAGGTCACGTGCTGCACGATTCCACTTATATGAAATCTCCAGAATAGGTAAATCCATAGAGACAGGAAGCAGGTGCGTCGTTGCCAGGGCCTGGGGTGGGGAGATGAGAAGGGAGCGACTGCTTAAGAGGTTCGGGGTTTTATTTTGGAGTGATGGAAATATTTTGGAACTAGACACAGCTAGTGATCGCACGCTATTACAAAACATACTACATGTCGCTGAACTGTTCACTTTAAAATGACTAATTTTATGTCATGTGAATTACTCCTCAATTAAAAGAAAAGAAAAAGGCCTCTATGAGCTGTACAGAAGACTGTGCTTCTCAGGGGCTAATCCAGAACCTAGGAGCTCCCACTCTTAGAGAAGGGCTTCTTTCATCTCGTCTTGAGCCCTCATGCTACCAAAATATGCAGCTAGAATGAGTCACAGTGGAGGCAGGCTGGGGACTGGATCTCCGGCCAAACCAATCCTTCAAAGCACTGTCAG